CGCCTCGCTGCCCCAGAAGCAGCGGCGCGCCTTCGCCTGCCCGGAGGCGCGAGCCCCCATCCGCGGCGTTCAAGTTCGATGGATGCCACCGGCGGCGCGCCCGCACATCGGCCGCGAGCGAGCGGGCGAGCAGCCGCTGGCAGATCCTCGGCAGGCCGGGCGAGGAGGACCTCCCATTTTCAGAAGCCAATATTTGCGATCGGTTCTCCCCACAACGCAGGGGCGAGCAACCGAGGGGCCCGACTGGGCGAAGCTGGCACCTGAGTGCCGCTACCGAGCCCATGCCCCTCAGCGCCGTGGTGTTTTCGGCCTGCAGGAACCGAGCTGCGAAATCGAATTGCAAATCCTTGGGGCCCAGGGGCGCCTGGGGGATCTCGACGAAAATCGGGTTCTCGTCCCGGACGTCTGGTGCGCTCTGGGCCACTGGGGGCCCATTGGCTTGGCCGTGCAGTTGTCGCTGAAGACGCCCGTGCCTTCGAGGGTGTGATCCCGAGCCTTGACTGCAGGAGTGCCAACCATGTGCCTATGCTTTTCCCCGGCGCCTCCCAACTTCTAAGGCCTCCGAACTCGAGGCCCGCGAACATGCGTCGCAGCCGCTGAGACAAGCGTCGGATGAGATAACCCTGGAACGCGTTGGAACGCGTTTCTATATGTTCGGCAATGACGAGCGCCATGCAGGGGGGGGGGGGGGGCGAAGGGGGGGTGCGACGCAACGCCGCCCCCCCGCCGCGTGGCTCCGGCACCGCAGCCGCGCCCGCGCGCGCGACGCGACGAGCGACGAGCGACGACGACGACGACGACGCGAGCAGCATGTAGGTGGCGATATGCCCAACTGCGCCTGTGTACACCACAACGTTCGCGTGCACCGCGGCGCGCGTATACCGCAGCGCCTGCGCGCGCCGCGACAACCGCGTGCAATTCAGCGCCTGTGTGCACCGCACTGTTTGCGTACGCGACAGCGCCGGTGTAGATGTGCACGCCGCAGCTACCACGTGCAATGCAGCGCCTGTGCACACCGCAGTGCTTGCGTGCACCGCGGCGCCTGTGCACGCCGCAGCACGTGTCTACACCGCGGCGCCCGCGTGCAACGCAGCGCTGGTGCACACCAATGCCTGCGCGCATAGTGCAGGTGGGAAGACCATGTACGTGAGAATCTGCTACGGACAACCAGACGCCATCCACGCCAGGAAGGTGCTAATAACCGAATGCGACGTTTTTCCCTCCGCCCCCCTCCTGTCCCCCCCCCCCCCTTCCCCTCGTCCTCGTTGCCGCCTGTCGCGCGGGTTGGCGCCGCAGCGCGCGTGCGCATCTCAGCGCGCACCGCAAAATGGTCGATTGAATCGGTCCACTTGGTTCTCGGATGACCAACTTAGCTGGGGATTCCTGGGCGCAGATGGTAGGAGTTAGGGTGATGCGGGCGGACTCCGGAGGACTCGTAGATTCCAGCGGCGCTCCGTTGTCCATGAGGATTATGTTATATTGTTTTCGGTGGAATCCACAAGCGCCCCATTTTGTCGTAAGAATTCGTTTTAACACTGTATATGCAACGGCGGTGTTGTGGCGCACGCGGTTGCTGTGGCGCACGCGGGCGCCGTGGTCTACACAGGCACTGTAATGCACGCAGGCATTGCGGTGTACACTGGTGCTGTGTTGCACGCGGCTGATGGCGTGCGCAAGCGCTGCGGTGTGCGCAAAAGCTGTTGTGCCTGCAGGCGCGGTGGCACAAACTGACGCTGTGCTGCGCGCGGCTGCTGTGGTGTACATTGGCGGTGCGGTGTGCACCAGCGCTGCGGTGCACGCAGGCACTGTGGTGTGCACGGGCTTTGTGGTGCAACTCGCCAGCTACATGCTGGCGCAACCCGTCCTCCGTCATTCGCAAGCATTCCCAGACGCCGCCGGCGCGAAACGCGACGTCATCTACCCCCTCCATCCCCCCCTGGATGATTGCCGTCATCGGCGCGGATTTAAAAAAAAAACAGAAAAAAACTTTCAGCAACGCCCGCGCGCGCGACGACTGAGCGACGCGCGACGGGCCACGAGCGACGACGACGACGACGACGACAACTGCGGACCAGACTTCTATGCGGATTCCTACGCGGATCCCAATGCGCACGGCGGCAGTGCCCGGCGTTGCGTGAGAGGGGGGGGGGGGGCGGGTGCCATGGCGCCCGTCGTGCCCCGAGAAATAAAGAAACGGGCTCCTGGGGCTCCAATGCCCATCGAGCCGCGCCCGGCAAAACGGATGCAGCGCGACGAACCGTCTGGCCCCGCGGCGCGCGGGGCCCCGGGCTCGGCGGCGGGCAGCGGCGCGAACCGCGATAAAAGCATAGACGCGACGGAAGATGGCGAATATTTCGCGACGCAGCGTGCAAATAAGGCGGGCGCAGTGCCCCGCGAATCGCCCCAACACTTCGCCGCCGGCGCGGGGGCGCCGGAAGGGGCGCGGGCCAGCGGTCCTCAGCCGCTCCAGCTTCCGATGATCCGTGGTGGGCGCGAACGTCTGGCGGCCCGTGACCTTGAAGCCCAAAGCGACGGCGTCCGCCGCGGGGCCGTGGATCTCGTGCGCGACGATGCCGACGCGGCAGAAGTGGCTGACTAACTCGTCCGTGGCACCCCGGACCTGTGCCCCGTCCGTTATGTCTGGCGCTGGCCTCTCGCCATGTACGACGCGGTCCACGGGCGCCGCTGGGCTGCGCGTGGCCCTGCGGTGGGCCGCCCGCTGCGCGACCCGCGCTGCCCCGCCCCAGCCCATCGGGGCCGCGGCGAGGCGCAGCGACGCTGGGGGGCCGTCGGGGAAGCCCGCGACCGCCGAGGGTAGCTCGCAGGGCCCGCGGAGCACAGTCGCGCCCACGATCGGCAGAGCAGAATAATCCGACAGCCCCGGCGAGATCGCCAGGTGGTGCAAGTTGTTGGCCAGCCGCGCCCTGAAAGCCTCCTCTCCGGGGCGAACCCGAGGTCCGCCAGCTTGCTGCCCGAAGCTTTCGGCTTAGGGCAGTTTGAGAAGCGAATGTTGACCGACCTGCGGTCCCTGGCCGCATCTCCCCGGACTTCTTGCGGACGGGGAACTGGCAGGTAGGCGTTGCCCGCTGGGCTCGTCCGCGCGCGGCGCGACTGGCGGCGAGCTCTCGCGCCGCGGGCCGTACTCGTCGTCAGTCAACATCCCTCGCTTCTCGAGCTCCCCGATGCACTGGGCCCCCTCGGAGTCGAAAACATAGAGAGTGGCGGGGGGTCGCTCCAGCTCCTCCGGCACCGCGATCGCAGTGGCGCGGCATCTGGGCGCAGCACCTGGGCCCCCCCCGCCGTCGTGGTAGAAGTCGGGGCCGAGAAGCTCGCGAGCGGCTTCTCGTCGACGAGGGAGAGGCGGCCATCCTGAGAGCGGAACGCGCCGCAAAAGCGCGCGCTGAGCCGCTGGCTGGGCCGCGCTCCTGCTCGCCGTTGGCAGCGCCGACGACGTCGGGGCAAGCGCGCCGTCGAGCTCGTTCAAGGCCCGGGCGCTCTCGTCGGCGGCGCGCCGCTGCCGGGGCCGCTGACGAACAGAGCGAGAAAGACGAGGGGCGCCCGGCGTCGCCTCCGCAAAAATCGGGATTGGCAAGGCCCCCCGGGCGTCCGGCGTGCCCCGCTACATTCCGCGCTGCGCGGGTAACGAGGCCGGCCGCAAGGGGGGCCGGCAGGCCGATTCCTGCCTGAGCTGGTCCGCGACGCGGGCCAACGGGCCGGGCGCTATCGCGGCCCCTCCGACCTGACGGCTCCAGCCCAACAGCTGGTCGGCGGCGCTGTAATCAAGCTGGCTCGGAGAGATCCATTGCGCCTCCATGATCAGCGCTGGCCGTCGCGCGAGCAGCTCCATGCGGATGGGGGGCGGGCAGTTCAACTGATCTAGCGTCGCGGCCGGGTCCAAGATGCGACTCAGCACATCGTGCTCGTCGACGCTCCGATACCCAGCTGGGACCTTCGATGACCTGGCCCTGTTCTCATGCGCGTCGAAGGCGCTGTGTTGCCGTTGTCCCACGCATACTTCAAATGCCACAAGGCCGTCTGCGACCCCTGCAGGTCCCAGCCGCCGACGCGAAGATCCTCGGTCGAGCTCGCGACCGCGTCCTCCCAGGTCCTGCGGTGCTCGCCCTGCGCGTCCAGCTTCGCCGACATCGCGCGAACGTTTCTCTTTGCGAGCACCGCGGGGCCAATGGCTGGCAACTGGGCCACGCGCGAACCGAGAGCCCTGAGGCGTGAGCGAACGCACGATCCGGCGGATCAACAAGGGTCCTGCAGGCAGCTGATGGCTGACCAGGTCGTCGATGACGTAGCCTGCGCGATCCTCGACCGCATGCCAAGTCAGCCATGCGGGCGGCGCCAGCACGCCTGCCGCGATAGGCGACGCGGCGCCGGCGCCCCCGGCCAGGCCAGGCGGAATGCCCATGGCGGCCGCCGCGGGCGGGCCAGCCGCCGCAGGGCCTGGCGCGCCGCCGGGCGCCACCAAGGCGCCAGCGCCCGCGGCATGCGCGGCCACGGCTGGGGCAGCCAAAGCGCCCGCCCCAGCAGCCGCCAAGGCTGGAACTCCCACGGCCGCTCCGCCTGGGGTGCCCCCGGCTGCAGCAGCAGGCGGCGGGTCGAAGTGGCACCTCAGTGGCAGTGGCGGGCACGGCGCACCCAGCGTGTGAGCGCCAAGCAGCGCGTGCGCGTCGACGACGGCCTGCGGCGGCGAGGCGCGGAAATCATAGATGTCGGCCGCCGCCACCCTTGCAGGTATTTCTTGCGCGTGGCGGAGCACGAACACGTCGGTGAAGTCGAGGTCTACAGCGAACGTCTCCTCGTACTGATCCAGGTCTGGGGTGACCCCATAGCCGACGTCAGTGCCAGGGCGTGTCGCGAGCACGGGCCGTACATGATAACCAGTGCTGGCCCAGGGACTCCACCATATCTCGCCAAAAGAAAATCTCCAGCTTGAAACGCTGCCATCACGCCGCCCGCGCCCCCGACGAACGCCCACGCACGTAGGTAAATTACACCCTCGCCTGCTCCTCGAACATCAGCTGCGGTGTCTCGACGGCGATCGCGGGCTCACACCTCGAGCCCAGGCGCGACGCCACTCGCGTGGGCAGGCCCCACACGGCGCCGAGGAGGTGCGCTCCGACGATGATCAGCGCCAACAGGCAAACACCTCCAACCACCGCCAGTGGCGAAAGCGTCGCACAGACGCAGGTGGCCGCCGGCACCTCCAGGCACGACAGGACGGGAGCGCACTCTGAGCACGGCGCCGACCCGCCCCAGAGTGCCAGGCTGGTGCAAATCCCGCGCGCGAGCTCTAGTACAACGGCGCGGGCGACTTGCATTGCCAGAACAACTTGAACCATCTTGCACATGGACGATGAATGGATGCAGAGACGGCAGAGCATCAACACCGCAGACAACATTTCCGAACAAGAACATCCATGACGACGGCGATATTGATGGTGAAGATGATGGTGATGATGATCATGATGACGGTGGTGGTGAAAATGATGCTGAGGCAGCCGCTGCTGCTGCTGCTGCTGCTGATGATGATGATGCTGATGATGATGATGATGATGATGATGATGATGATGATGATGATGATGATGATGATGATGATGATGGCGATGACAATGACAATGATGATGATGATGATGATGATGATGATGATGATGATGATGCTGATGCTGATGCTGATGCTGATGATGATGATGATGATGCTGATGATGATGATGATGATGATGCTGATGATGATGATGATGATGATGATGATGATGATGATGATGATGATGATGATGATGATGATGATGATGATGATGATGAGGATGATGATGACGACATGCGAAGAGCAGAGGCAGGGATGTGGGGAGGGAGGAGAGGAGGAGGAGGAGGAGGAGGAGGAGGAGGAGGAGGAGGAGGAGGAGGAGGAGGAGGAGGAGGAGAGGAGGAGGAGGAGAGGAGGAGGGGGAGGAGAGGAACGCGGGGCACTGTCTCTCTAAATCGAAGGCCCAACACCACAGGATACCTAGGAAAAACATCGAGCGTTCCTGGAGAGCCAAGAAGGGCCCCCCTCCCCTGGACACCGGCCTTCCTAACCGGCCCCCCCAGGGACCCCCGCCCCTTACCAAGGAAAGGGGGGTTCGAACGGGGGGAACCCCCCTCACCTGAGTTGCAAGGGGGGTGGGTCGAACCGGGGGGACCCCCCTGCAAGGGGGGCAGCCCCGCTGAAGGAGTTGGTTCTCACGCTCGCTCGCTGTCGGCGTCGGCGTCGGCATCGTCGTCGACGTCGTCGTCGTCGTCGTCGTCGTCGACGTCGACGTCGACGTCGACGTCGACGTCGACGTCGACGTCGACGTCGTCGCCGTCGCCGTCGCCGTCGCCGTCGCCGTCGCCGAAGCCGTCTCCGTCGCCGTCGCCGTCGTCGTCGTCGTCGACGTCGTCGTCGTCGTCGCTAACGTGGTCGCCATCGCCGTCGCCGTTGCCGTCGCCGTCGCCGTCGACGTCGTCGGCGTCGGCGTCGGCGTCGGCGTCGGCGTCGACGTCGGCGTCGGCGTCGGCGACGGCGTCGTCGTCGTCGTCGTCGGCGTCGTCGTCGTCGTCGTCGACGCCGTCGTCGTCATCGTCGTCGTCGTCCGGCGCTCGCCGTCGTCGGTTGCAGGGGCGGGGCCCTGGTTCAAACCCCCTCCCATTGAAATTCCTGGGGGGTTGCCTTCCCGGTTCGAGTCCCGTCCCCATTGGACAAAAGGGCTTCGGTTCGAACCCAGACCCCCCTCTTCAGGGGGGGTGTTGGGGCCCAGTTCGAGCCCTCCTCCACTTGAGGGGAGGGGGGGCCCCCGGTTCGATCTCCCCTCCCCTTCCATCTCAGGGGGAGGACGGTGACCTTGCCCCCCCTTTTGTATGCCGCTGGCGCCCCTCTTCTTTGGGACCCCCCCGAGATACCCTGGGCCCCCATGCTCAAGGCAGCCGCGAGCTGCCGCCCCGTCGCGGACGCGCCGCTGGCGATGACAGGCACGGACAGCAGCGGCACAGCCCTGGGCAACACAACCCAAAGGCCCACCTCGTCGCCAGGCTGTCCTCCAGCGATGGAGGCCTCGTACCCGACTATCTCGATCAGGTCCACGCCGGCCTCCTGCGCTTTCAGCGCGTGCCGCAGCGTTGCTGACTTGTGGAGCACCTTGACGCCAGCCGCGTGCAGCTGTTTCATATACTTTTTCGGGGAAGCGCCCGCAACTTCCAGCAAGGCCACTCGCTCCTCTGCGACTACGTCGACGTAGCCGTCGTAGTCCGCTGGAATGAGTGCTGGTAGAATGGTAAGGTTCACGCCGAAAGGCTTGCTGGTCATCTCCCGGCATCGGCGGATCTCCGCGCGCAGGTCCTCTGGCGAGGGCTGCGTGAGGCCCGTGAGGACACCAAGCCCTCCGGCATTCGAGACCGCGGACGCCATCTCGGCGTACCCCACGTACTGCATGCCACCCTGGATGATGGGGTGCTGGATGCCCAACATCTCGGTGAGTCTCGTCTTGAGAACCATGCCAGGCCGCGCGCTAGGCGCCAGCGTCGACAACTTGCACCACAGCTTTGGACTCCGAGCCCAAATCGCTTGAAGCTCTTACGTCCTCCTCATCCTCCCTACCTTACCTTCACAATGGCGTGCGTACTTACGAACATTGCCAGACGTATCTGTGTCGACCCGGCTCGCTGAGCGTCCAGGAACAAAGCTTGTGAACACATAGTAGTTTGTTGGAGCAAGGCACGCGAGCAAAGCAAGTGCTCAGGAGCTGGGCTTATGGTCACGCGTATGTGTTCACAGAGATGGTATGCGGACAACTACCAGAGCCCCAGCAATTGCGGATGGGAGTAAGGGGTCGGGGGGTGGGGCGTCGGCAGTATACGAGGCTCGAGGGGAAATCTGATGCCCAACACAGGCACCGATACTCTATGTATTTCACGACGGGCCCGCCGCAGGCGCCGAAGCGTTGTCGTCAGAGCAGAGTGGGTGGGTCGAGGGTGGGTCGCGGGGTGGGTCGCGGCTGGGTCGCGGGTGGGTCGAGGGGTGGGTTGCGGTTGGGTCGTGGGGTGGGTCGCGGGCAGAACGTCAACGGCAAGGTAAAAAAGCAACAAGCATAATCCTCGCCGCGGAAGCCCACTTCAGCCACGCACCCAGGGACAGTGTAAGACTGTTCGGCCTACTCACTTTAACGATTTGGGAACATGCTGCATGAACACCTAATGTATCTGGATCGCTGCCCGTCAACGTGAAAGAACCAGGGTACAGAGCCGAACGCAAGAAACATGTGGAAATTGGTGGCGACGAAGGGTAATCGGTACGCACCAGGGCTGGGGACAGCCCAGGACAAATCCAAGCGAATGAGAATTGCTGCGACCAATGTAAACAAGAAACTGTACATTGCAAACGCTGTTTGGGGAATGAAGATCGGTGTGGTTAGCAGCAGCGCTTTTGATGAGGGATGGGCAACGACAAAATATGTGTTCCTGCCACTCCCACTCCCCGGCCCTGCAAGACCTCCATGCCGCCCCCAGTCCCGGCCCCCGCGCCCATAAGACTACCACTATGGCTCGTGAGCAGAAGCGCGAACAACTCAATTGAGCAGAAGCGCGAACAACTCAATTCACACGCGTTCCTTGGTTCCCAGATCGCGGCCACCTGAATTAGCCTCCCCTCCTCCCCCGTCCTCGCCGCTTCTGCGCGCCCCCTCCCCTCAACTGCTCTACCCGCCGGTTTTTTCCCAACCATCCTGTGGTGTTGGGTCCTCGTTTTGAATGGACAGCGCCCCGCGTGTCATCTTTCCTTCCTTCCTTCTCCCCCTCCTCCTTCCTCTCCTCCTCCCCCTCCTGCCTCCTCCCCCTCCTTGCCTTTGCTCTCGGCACACCTCTCACACGTTTCGTAGCCCTTATAGGGGGTTCCACCGAAGACCCCAGTGGGGGTGTTCGCATGCAGTTCCTTCACCCAGGGCAACGTTTCGTGGCCCCATAGGGAACTCCACCAAATGACCCACTGGGGGTGTTCGCCTGCGGGTCCCCCACCCAGGGCAGCGCTTCGTGGCCCCATAGGGAGCTCCACCGAAGGCCCCAGTGGGGTGTTCGCATGCGGGCCAGCCGCCCAGGACAGCGTTTCGTGGCCCCACAGGGAGCTCCACCGAAGGCCCAAGTGGGGGTGTTCGCGTGCGGGCACCCCACCCAGGACAGCGCTTCGTGGCCCCATAGGGAGCCACACCGAAGGCCCAAGTGGGGGTGTTCGCATGCGGGTCCCCCACCCTGGACAGCGTTTCGTGGCCCCACTGGGAGCCCCACCGAAAGCCCCACTGGGGTGTTCGCATGCGGGTCCCCCACCCTGGACAGCGCTTCGTGGCCCCACATGGACCTCCACCGAAGGCCCCATTGTGGGTGTTCGCATGCGGGTCTTCGCCCTGGACAGCGCTTCGTGGTCCCATACGGAGCTCCACCGAAGACCCCCGTGGGGGTGTTCGCATGCGAGTCCCCCAAGCTGGACAACGCTTCGTGGCGCCATAGGGAGCTCCACCGAAGGCCCCATTGGGGGTGTTCGCATGTGGGTCCCCCGCCCGGGACAGCGTTTCGTGGCCCCAAAGGGAGCCCCACCGAAGGCCCCAGTGGGGGTGCTCGATTGCGGGTCCCCCACCCAGGAGAGCGCTTCGTGGCCCCAGAAGGAATTCCACCGAAGGCCCCCGTGGGGGTGTTCGCGTGCGGGCGCCCCACCCAGGGCAGCGCTTCGTGGCTCCATGGGGAGCCCCACCGAAGGCCCAAGTGGAGGCCCCAGTGGGGGTGTTCGCATGCGCCCCCCCCACCCTGGACAACGTTTCGTGGCCCATCCACCCAGGAGAGCGCTTCGTGGCCCCATAGGGAGCCCCACCGAAGGCCCCAGTGGCGGTGTTCGCATGCGGGTCCCCCACCCTCGACAGCGCTTCGAGGCCCCAAAGGGAGCTCCACCGAAGGCCCAAGTGGGGGTGTTCGCATGCGCCCCCCCCACCCAGGACAGCGTTTCGTGGCCCCATGGGGAGCCCCACCGAAGGCCCAAGTGGGGGTGTTCGCATGCGGGTCCCCCACCCTGGACAGCGCTTCGTGGCCCCAAAGGGAACTCCACCGAAGGCCCCACTGGGAAGTTCGCACGCGTGCCTCCCGCCCAGGAAAGCGCTTCGTGGCCCCACAGGGAACTCCACCGAAGGCCCCAAAGGGGGTGTTCGCATGCGGGTCCCCCACCTTGGACAGCGTTGCGTGGCCCCACAGGGAGCTCCACCGAAGGCCCCAGTGGTGGTGTTCGCATGCGGGACCCCCACCCAGGACAGCGCTTCGTGGCCCCAGAGGGAGCTCCACCGAAGGCCACAGTGGGGGTGTTCGCATGGCCCCCCACCCTGGACAACGTTTCGTGACCCCACACTCCACCGAAGGCCCCAATGGCTGCGCTCGCATGCGCCCACCGCGCGCATTTCGGCACACCCCTCACACGTTTCGTGGCCCCAGAGGGAGCTCAACCGAAGGCCACAATTGCTGCGTTCGCATGTGCCCACCGCACCCATTTCAGTACACCCCTCAAAAGTTTCGTGGCCCCACAAGGAGCTCCACCGAAGGCCCCAGTGCTGCGTTCGCATGTGCCCACCGCGCGCATTTCGGTACACCCCTCACACGTTTCCGCTTCGTGGCCCCACATGGAGCTCTACCGAAGGCTGCAGTGGCTGCGTTCGCATGCGCCCACCGCGCGCATTTCGGCACACCCCTCACACGCTTCGTGGCCCCATAGGGAGCCCCACCGAAGGCCCCAGTGGATGCGCCCACCGCACCGATTTCGGCACACCCATCACACGTTTCGTGGCCCCACAGGGAACCCCACCGAACGCCCCACTGGTTGCGTTCACGTGCGCCCACCGCACCCTTTCGGCACACCGCTCACACGTTTCGTGGCCCACAGGGAACTCCACCGAAGGTCCCTGTGGCTGCGTTCGCCTGCGCCCACAGAACCAATGTCGGTACACCCCTCAAACGTTTCGTCGCCCCACAGGGAGCCCCACCGAACGTCCCAGTGGCTGCGTTCGCATGCGCCCACCGCACCCAGGTCGACACCCCCCTCACACGTTTCGTGGCCCCACAAGGAGCTCCACCGTAAGGCCCCAGTGGCTGCGTTCCAATGCGCCCACAGCACCAATGTCGGCACACTTATTGCACGTTTCGTGGCCCCACAGGGAGCTCCACCGAAGGCCCCGGCACAGCCCTCAGGGGTTTCGTGGCCCCCTAGGGATCGCCACCGAAGAAGATACTCACACTTGCGGTACGCACAACTGCATCTGGTTAGGTCCTTCGCCAAGATAAGTTTGATTGTGTGTTTGTCTTGTTTTGCTTTGTTTTCTATCTCCCTCTTGCTTCTCTATTCCTCTTTATCCATAGTTCCCCCTCCGTCTCTCTTTTTGTTGTTATCCTCTCTCTCTCTCTCGCTCTTTCACTCTCTCTCTCTCTCTCTCCCCCCCGCTCACGTAATTAAAGTCACTGGCGGTGAACGAGAACGCCGGCCAATCCGACTGGCGTCCCACCAATACAAACCACTTGTTCCCCACCGTTTCACTAAGAGGGCGGAAAGTACACATCCGCCACCCCGTGCCACCTGGCACATCGAACGTGGTAGGATGCCAAGTGCTGTGTGGTGGATTTCTGTGGTTTGCGAAGGGCGGAGGGGTCCTCCCATCTCTCAGCACAGTTAGCGAAGTGATACATCTCACGACCTTCCCATTTATCCCGGTCATCGTCATCATCACCACCACCCTCACCAGTTCAGCCATCGTCACCACCATCATCCGCATCCTCCTCCTCATCATAATCCGCACCATCATGATTCTGACCCTGGTAATTTTCCATCCCAGCCCGTCACAATTATCCTCCTCCTCCTCCTCCTCTCCTATTCCTCCTTTTCCGCATCGTCATCGTCCTCAAAACCATCACCACCACCATGGTAATAATCATAATCCACCGGCCCCAGAGGCGCGTGGGGAATCTTTCTGCTCCATCTACCTAAAGAGCTTTCCGACGCCCAGAACCTTTGTTCTTGGAGTCATCAACCCAGCACGCCTGGGAACTTTGTTCTTGGGCCCCCCCATCCGACAACGTCTGGCCCAGAACCCACCCCGAACCCCCACCCTGACTTCCACCACGCCCGACAACCCCAGCCTCCTGCAGCCTCTGGGCATGGGTTCTTAAAAACCCCCACCCCGTCCCCCACCACGCCCGACATCCCCAACCTCCTTCAGCCTCTTATCCCTCTTAAGAAATCCGGCCTCTAGCCTTCAGCCTCCCCAGCCTCCTCCAAGGGCCACCGACATTGCAAAAATCCGACCTGTACACCCCGCTCGGACCCGCACCAAGCCCGACCGACCCTGACCCCTCCATCGGCCTCCACCACGTTGGACCCCCGGACTGTGCTGGGAGCTCAAGTCGTGCCCCCCCCCCCACCCGACAATTCCATTCCTAGCCAGGAGCCGACCCTGACCCCTCCCTCGGCCTCCACCTCGCCCGACCCCCGCATCGTTCTGGGAGCTTTGTTTTCTGGCCCCCCCACCTAACAATCCTAGCCCAGAATCGACCCGGACCCCCCTCCTCGACAACCGC